CTCTCTCTCTCTCTCTCTCTCTCTCTCTCTCTCTCTCTCTCTCTCTCACTCTCTCTCACTCTCTCTCTCTCTCAATCTTGCTCTTGCTGTCTCTCTCAGAATAAGAGGTGAATTTGGTTTCCCCAACTGGAATGTGAGCCCTTCAAGGGTATCAGTTACTTGTGTGTTGGCTGGATTCCCCACTTTATCCCTAGTACAGAGGCTTTTGATTTGGCTGTTAGCTAGAGAATAATTGGGGAACTACAGGTGACCCACAGTTTAGATGGCAGTAGACAGAGCAAAGGTGACCGCTTGTTGGGTGTGGAGTAGAAGAGATTCTTTTTTGGCTTGGTGGACCCGAATGGCCGCTGACGTCTCACCCAACCGTTAGAATTCTGTGATTATGTTTTCTGATCAGGTATATTCCTGTGGCCTGGCTGAAAAGCCAGGATGGGTCAGTCAGCAGTCAGCAAGCATTTATTAAACACCTGCTGTGTGCCGGGCTCCTCGCCACGTGTAGTGTTTTCTGTTTCTCTGTCTTTGGGGGGGGGGGGGGGGTGGTTGGAAGGAAAGTACAGCTGGCCAGCCCTGAATGGGCTTGAACTTGTGGAGGTGAGGGGTGGGGTGAAGAGAAGGGAGCATGCCTTTGTTAAGTGCTGACTATTTACAGTGCTAAGAGCTTTTACAACTATTATAGCATTTGATCCTCACAACAACCCTGGAAATTTGGTGCTAGTTTGATCCCTATTTTACAGTTGAGGAAACTGAGGCAAACAGGCCTGGCCTAGCTGAGATGAGTCTTGATTACATCACTAGACGTTTATTCCCTCCTCCTCCTGGCTGACTCGTGCTGTGACCTTTTGTAACGTCTTGCATGTTGTCGTGAAGGCATACCATGAATCTGGCTGTCCCCAACTCCAAGGCCAGATCTCTCTATCCGGTCCGCCATAGGGACCCTCTGCCTGGCACACAGGGGCTCCCAGTAGAGAAACTCCCTTCATCCAATGTGGATCAGCACCTGCTCGGCAGCTTGGAGCCAGCGTGTGTCCACGAGGGTCTCCCTGACTCCGAGGCTAGCTCTCCACCCACTGTGCCTGGTACTCAGAAGGCACTGCCCTGGGGACAGGCCTGCCATGGCCCGGCACACCCCCAGCTCAGAGCCGATTTGGGTCTGTGTCCCAAGTCCCTGCCGCGTGGCCCTCCCTGAGCAGAGCTGGCCTCTCCCCGGCCTCCTCCTCCTCTTCAACACCCCCGGCTCCTCCGGTTCAGTCTGGCCCTGGGGCAAAGGTTCGCCTGCTCACGGGTCGCCTTTTTCCTTCCCCTCTCTCACAGCAGCAGCAGCAGCAGCAGCAGCAGCAGCAGCAGCAGCAGCAGCAGCAAATGCCCCGGGGCAGCCAGGAGGAGAAGGAGGAGAAGGAGAAGGAGAAAGAGGCGGACAAGGAAGACGACAAACCCGAGGCCGAGAACGACAAAGAAGAGCTGACCAAGTGAGCGGGCCTCCCCAGGGTGCGGGGCTGGGGTCGACGGGGCCGAGGGCTGGCGTTGAGGCGGGGCCTGCCCCTCGGGACAGTCGTGCTGAGTGTGCTCCCCGGGGGGGAGCAGCTGTCAGGACAGGAGGGGGGCCTGGTGGCCTTCCTTTCTGCCTCTCCCTCTCCTTCCCCCTCTTCTGTCTCCTCCCTCCCTCCCCCTCCTCTTCCCACTCTCTTCCCCTTCTCCCTCTCTTTCTTAATGACTTTCTCTTCCTCCTCCCCTTCCCTGCCTTCTCTCCCTCTCTCTCTCTCTCTCCCCCCTCCTCCTCCCCCCGTTCTCTCCCCGAGTCTTGATCTGAGCCCTGAGCCTTCTCTTTCTAAATCCCCCAGAGACCTCTGAGTGAATTGTTCATTCCTGCTCTCCTCTTAGACTAATAAATCCAGGCGATGGCTTTGGAACTCTTCCCTCCCCTGCCCCCCCATTGGCCACGTCTCCTGAGATTGGGGTGGGGGTGAGGATGAGATTAAAACGAGTCAAAGCAGAATGAAATAGGTGTGCGGCCCAGGTGGAGCCCTCACCTCTAGAATTATTGATGTCAGCCTGAGCTCTTCCAGATTGAGGCCGGGCTGGGGGGGGGGTGGGGGGGCAGTGACAGCCTCGGTGCCTGACACAATCTCGGCAGAACGGAGCCGGGCGAGATTCATTGCTGGGAAAGGTTGGCAGGCGGAGACTGTTTGGTCCCTGTAATGGGCCCGGCAACGCAGCTTAAAAGAACATCTGGCTTCATTATAGACCGTCTTCCCAGACGGTTACCAGCACAGGCCTTTCAGGAAGATGAATGAGGAGGAGCCCATGATAAATCTCAGTGGCCCTGCATTAAACCCTCCCGTGGCAGGTTTGCAGAAGCACTCATCCCTGGAAGGAGGTTACGCACCCTTAGAACCTGGGCCTCCGGGGAAAACGGCTCCCCCCACACAATGCCCCGGCACAGTTTTGCCTGTCCTCGCCCCCTCACGCTGCTGGCCTTCAGGTTTATGGGGGTGGTGGAAAGAGCCTCAGGCTTGGAGCCAACGGGATCTCAGAAGCCATTGACGCCAACCCTTTCATTTTCCAAGGCCCCCAGAAATTCATTGGGTCATAGATGTTGGAGTTAGAGGGGCCCTCAGAGGCGATCTGGTCCAGTCACCTAGTTCTAGAGAGAGTCTACGACCCCAGAGGGTCATAGATTTAGAGTTAGAAGGGCCGGTCAACTCCGTGAAAAAGCTGAGGAGAAGTGACTTCCCTGGCATCGCAGGCGAGATTCAAATCCATGTCCTCTGAACCCAAGGCAAGCATTCTGCCGCCGTCGGGGGCTCTCATTCCCGCTCTTCTGCTAACTCTGTAGATGACCCTCATCTCGTCCTCTGTAAAACAGGGGGGTGGGGCAGATGGCCTCTGAGATCTTCCGAAATCTGTGAACCTCTGCACCCCTGTGGGCCTTCCCTTCCTCCGTCAGATGAGGGCATTAGACAGGCGAGAGCTCTTGGGCTGCAGCCTGGCACTCAGCTTATGTGGCTCTCATCAAAGAGCCTCGAAGATAACCCTCTAGGAGGTCTGCCCACCTGACACTAGGGTCCTAGCCCCGCCCTCCCCCACTCAGATGTTCCAGACCATCTAGTTCTGTTGGGTGTGAAGAATGACCTCTGAGGTGCCTTCCTGATCAAAATCTAGCTTCCCAAAAGATAAGGCGGTCCTGGACCTGTGAGCTGGGCAGCACATAAGCTTCCTGAGGACAGAGACGGCTTCTGTCTCTATATCCCCAGCTCCCAGCACAGAGCCCAGCGGATGGGAGGCGATTACTGAGGGTTTGTTGGCTTTTGAATGTGAGGCATGGGAGCTGGAGGGGTGTGGGCAAAGGAGCCTGTTTGGGTTCATCAGTGGAAAAAGTATCTGCTGAAGTGAATACACAGAATACTAAATTTAGAGCTGGAAGGGACCTCAGGGAACATCTAGTCCAGACCCTGCATTTTACAGTTGAGGAAACTGAGTCCCAAAGATGTGAAGTGCCTTTCCAAAGGTTCCACAGCTTGTAAGGATGGGCCAGAGAGCTGGCCCCCAAATGCTTTGTGTCTGTATCCAGCACGCTCTCTGTAGATGAGCAGCAGAGCCTTTCAGTACCACATGGGCAGATGGGTCCTTAGGATACTAAAATTCTTACCTGTCCAGCACAGTGGATAGGGTACTGGACCTGGCATCAGGAAGACCTGGGTTCACATCCAGCCCCGACACTTAGTAGCTTCCAGTTTTCTAGTTTGCTGGTGGGTGGGCCTGGGGAAGCTGCTTCACCTCTCACAGCCTCAGTTTCCTCAGTTATAAAATGAGGATAATAATAGCACCTGCGCCCCAGGGTTGTTGTCACGATAGAATGAGAATAATTGTGAGGTGCTTTGCAAACCTTAAAGTGCTATTATTATTTATTATTGTTGTTGTTATAATTATTGTCTGTAGCCTGGTTTGTTTTTGGTTTTTTTTTTTTTTTTTTGGAGACCTCCATGACCCTTGTGTATTTTTCATGACTGACATAAAGCCTCCTTTCTCTTACTGACTGCTCATTAGGGAGAAGACGGATGACACCTCTGGAGAGGACAACGATGAAAAGGAAGCAGTCACTTCCAAAGGTCGAAAAACTGCCAATAGCCAGGGCAGACGCAAGGGACGTATCACCCGCTCCATGGCCAACGAGGCTAACAATGAGGAGGCAGCTACCCCTCAACAGAGCGCAGAGTTGGGTGAGTCTTCTGTGTCGATGGCTTTATATCACTTTCATTTCCTTCCCCTGCGCAGTAAAACATCCCTTGTAATAAAAGAGTTTTGTTTGTTTTAAGAGAGGGAAAAAAAAGGTCAGCAAATCCAGCCGAGTCATCCACTGTATCTGACGGGATATTTACTACTTCACACCCATTCTCAACTCTTTTCCAAGGTTGAGCTTGACCTTTATAAATGGTACTAGCTGGGGGTGAGAGGCATTGGCCATGGGAGCATGGTGAGGATGGGAAGGGCAATGAGGTTTAGAGGCTCCCTCGCCACTGATACTTCAGTGATGCAAGGGCCTGTCTTTCGATATTTTGCTGGAAATTTGGCGGGGGGGATCTTAACAACTGTAGCGTTACAGAGTGGTAACGTCTTTCTAAATTTGGATTCTCTCAAGCATCCATTTCTAAGAGCAGAAAGAGGTAGGCCTGTTTTTTCTGGAAGCAAAAATAACAATTTAGCTGTGGAACACTGAGCAGAATGCCGGACTTGATAAGTTGGTCACTTTTGCTGAACTGGTTTTTTTCTCTTTTTTTATTCTTTGTTATAACAATAATAAATAATAATTGGAGCTAGAATTTGTATATTGACTTAAAGTTTGCAACTGCTAAACATGTGTTGTTCCTTTCTGGGAGGTAGGTTCCATTATCCCTATTTTACAGATCAGGAAACTGAGCCTGAGACAGGTGCAGTGACGGCTTGTCCAGGGTGACACGGCTAATAAGTGATTGAGATAGGATTTGAACTTGGGTTTTGAGTCGAGATCAGTGTCTCTGTTCACTGAGCTGCTGTAGGGATGGCCCGGCCAGGGGTAAGATATATAGGGAAATGTAAGTGATTGATAATAATTGGCGTTAAAATTTTGATGTAGCCGTGGAAGGACGTGTTCCCCAGCCCCTACTCCCCCAGTGTCGGGGTCACGAGAGGGGATTTCTGGTCCTCTTTGCCTCCTCTCTCTTGGCCCAGGCCTTTTCCTCTTCCTTGATGTTCCTGAGAGACACGGTTGTGGCCTAATGGAAGGAATCCTAGGTGGGAGGCAAGAGACCAGGGTTCTAGTCCTGCTTGACAGTTGGGTAATGTGGTCTCTGCAAAGAGATGGAAACTGCGCTCCACAGAGGGCAAGTGACTTGGTGTCTGTCCGCATCCCCGGCCTCGCCTTTGCTCTCTCCCCGTGACAGTGGCCCCTTGGCCACATAGAGAACGCAGGGAAGGCAGGGGTCTTGTTTCTGCCTCTGGCTGCATAGGGGCAATTTCTGCCTGTCTCTGAGCCACTGAAGCTTCCTTCCTTCATCCAGCATTTATCAAGTGCCTACTGTGTGGGAGAAATAATCGTGGCTAGGAAGCTGGCTTCTGAGTCAGGAAGACCTGAGTCCCTCAGGTGTCAATCACTATCCCCCCCACCCCCCAGATCACTTTGTCTCTGTTTGATCTAGACAGAATGGCACAGTGGACAGAGTCAGAACGGGAGCCAGGAAAGCCAGGGTTCAAGAGGTAGACTGGCCGAGAGACTCAATAAGTCCCCGAAGCTGTCGGTGCCCCTAGGAAATTCTCTTAAGACTTGATTGAAGAGAAGGGGTGCTAGGCGTTGGTAGGCAGTGGTTTCTCACCAGGAGTTCCCTGCACCCCTGAAATCACAGAAGGAATCTGGGGTGGGGTGGGGAGAGTGCTCGCCACAGCTTGAGGTGGACTCTAAGCAGGGTCCTGCTTGTTTCAGCTGATTGCGTGGAGTTTTGAGACTGCACACATGCACGCGCACACAGGCCTCTGCGAAAGACTAATGAGAGATGGTTCCCCAGCCCAGGCAGGACCTGAGACCTTCACCCAACCCAGCAGAAGCAGCAGGGAGGTCTTGGGGGAGCCCATTAAGAACTCAGTACCCTGAGGCCTCTTTGTCTGAAGGGTCCAAATGGTACGGAAGTGATCATAGGTGGAGAACCGCTACGGCGGTGATGTGAAGTTTTAGGGGCTTGTGGCCAGTCGGCGCAGTCGAGGACTCATGTCGTGACTCGCGTCTGCCGCGTCTCCCAGAGCGCTCATGTAGCCTCTGCTTCTCCATGGCCCGGCGGGGGAAGGAGGGCTGGTCTGGGCCGGATCAGTCTGTGCAGGTGCCTTGTTCCTCAGTGCTGACCTCGGTGCTGCCTGTGCAGCCATGGCGGGTCTTGGCTTCCGAGGCCTTTGTGCCTCTGTGTGTGATGAGGAAGTTGGATTGGACGGCTTCCGGTTCTAGACCTATGGCTCATGCTCTTAGACGAGGCCCCTTATGTCCTTGAGTACGTAAGGATGGGTCGCTCTGGATCCAAGATTCTCAGCTTGGGGTTCATGGGCCCCTCAGTATTTGTGTGGGTTTCAAGTTCCTTTAACTTGGCTGATTAAAAAATGCGTCTTTATTTCACTACCATCGGTTTCCTTTGTAATCCTGCGTTTTATCTTATGCATTTAAAACCATGGCTCTGAGAGGGGCTCCATAGCCTTCATCAGGTTGCCTGCCCACGGGCTCCAGCCCCTTCCTCTGGGTCGTCATCTCTAAGACCCGTCCAGCTCTGAACCTGTGACCTGGCAGCAGTCGGGTGATAGGGATTTATTAAGCACTTACTGTGCATGGAAACACAATCAGTCCCTGCTGGGGACGGCTTCCACCCACCCCATTGGTAGAAGGCTCTTTACTGTGGAGCACCCATTACCTCCCCAGGCTTCCATTCATTGGGGCTGGACGCTCTTGGCTTCACCTGTCAGTCCTCCAGAGGTCTTAGGGTCTGTTTGCTTTTGAGGGGCTGCACCTTGGGGTACCCAGGCAGAAATGTTTCCAGATTCCTTTGACTTTGGACAACCAGTCGGAGTCGGGGTATTGGAAGCGTGACCTCTGGTGGTCATTTTGGGCTTTTGTTTCCTCTCGTATACTCCTAAAGCAGTATTTAGCGCCCCATAGCCTGTTTTTAAAGTGATCCGTTCCCTGGGACCCCTTCCGTGGCCACATCTCTTGACACCTTGCGTAGTGATAGGTGGAGGTGGCATTTAGAACGTGGCCACTGGGATCTCTGTTTCCTGTGAGAAAAGTGGAAAGATTCCCCCAAGTTCATCATGTTCTAGAAAGGAAGCAGGAACGGGCCCGAGAAGCCATCTAGGCGCCCCCCCACACCTTTCTGCAGATGATGGGGGGAGGGTCAGGGACTCGCTCAAAGTCACACCGGTAGTTGACAGTGCAGCTGGATTCAAACCCACAGCTCTGGCTCCCGTCCACTACACCACCGCTCTTCTGTTCCCTTCAGGCTCTTCATTTGGACGAGTTCCTGTGTTTGTCAGTCGTTCACCAGCACGTCCCCATTCTCTCCCAAAATAGAATGCCTGCTCCGGTGCTGTCCCTGCCCCCCCAGCCCCACACACACTTTAGAGGCACATCCGCATAGTGAGACCCTGAGGTAGCACAGAGCAGGCCATCAGGGACCAAGGCTGGACGGCTGCAGATCCCTCATTAATCCTGTGACTCCTGCCAGACCACTTCCTGCATCTCCTTGTTCACCTCCCCTTGGCTTGTCTTTCTCACCTGGTTTGGCCATCCGGCGTACCTGCCTACAGGTGTTTTCGTTACTGGAGATTACACATGCAGTCACCTCTCAGTTGTCTATGGATGAGTTCCCTGTGTCTTGGGCTCATGCATCAGTGGAAACACATGGAAAGCCACGTTCCATCTCGTAGGTGTGTTTTCAGGTTGGCCTTCTTGATTCTGTTAGTCAGCAAACACATATTAAGTGCTTACTGTGTGCTATGTACTATGCTAAGTGCTGGAGACCCAGAGATGATGGTGAAATGGTGCCTAGCCTCCAGGAGCTCCCATTCTGTTGGGAGAAACGCCATGTAAATAATTAGCTTCACAAAGGATCTGTTCAAGGTGGATGGAAAGTCATCCCAGAGGAGAAGGCACTCTCAGCTGACCGGGGCCTTTCGGGTGGGCATAAGGTAGTGTTTGAGCTGAGTCCTGAAAGAAACCCAGGGTGACAAGAGGCTGTATTGATGAGGAAGGCATGGGGGACAGCCAGGAGAAAGGCCATCTGCTTCTCTGTCTCCTCTGAGATGGGAGGTGGAGTGCCGTGCGTAGCCCAGGCAGCTGGAATACAGGGCTCCCACATGGAGTTTTGGAGGGGAGTGAGGTGGAAGAAGAGTGAGCCGGTCAGGTCACAGAAGTCCTGACAAGCCAGACGGTCTTGCCATTTAACCCTGGGAGGACGAGGGAGCCTTAGGGGTTTGTTGAGTAGGGGCTGATGTGGTCAGACCTGTGCTCCAGCAACTGAGTGGACACAGGGAGACCCCCAGCCGGTCAGTGTGTGTGTCCAGGAGTACGGCGATGGCAGTCTGCCTGTGAAAGATGCTTGGAACAACAAGATTATTAGATGCTTGGAGTGGGTACAAGTGAAGATGGAGCATGACGCCGAAGGTTTCCAGCCTGGGTGTTTGGAAGGATAATGATGCTCTTGACTTTGGCCGTTGGTGGGGTGGGGGAAAAGATGGGGAGTCCTGTTTTGTACACGTTGTGTTTTCGATGCCTACAGGACATCCATTCCAAGAAGGCCAGGAAAGAGATGGTTGGTGATGTGGGCCTGAAACTCGGGAGAGAGACCAGGGCTGGATTTGGAGATTTGGGAATCATCTGCATAGAGTTGATAAGTGAAGCCCTGGGAGCTGATGAGCTCACCCAGGGAACTAGTCTAGAGGACAAAGAGACGAAGCTCTAGGACAGAGCCTTGAAGGACACCCACAGTCCACTAGTGGGTGGGGCATGGTTGAAGACTCAGCAGAGAAGACTGAGGAGGAGTCACCGGGCATGGAGGAGAAGAGTGAAGGAAGACAACGGTGTCACAGATGTCCAGAGAAGAGAGAGAGGTCTGGAAGAAGGCGGCGATTGATCGACGGAGTCAAGGCTGCAGGGAGATCGAGGAATATAAGCTTTGAGAAAAGACCCTTGGATTTGGCAATTTAGAGATCAGTGGCCGCTTTGGGAAGGAGGAGCAGTTTCGGTTGAATGTGAGGTCGGAAGTCAGAGTGCAGAGTGAGAGGAAAAGAAAGCGGAGCCTGCCGGTGTAGATGGCTCTCTCTTGAGAAGTTTAGCCAAGAAGGGGAGGAGAGATACAGTCTGGTAGCTAGAAGAGATGGCCGAATGCAGCGCAGGCTTTTTCAGGATGTGGGAGATGAAGGGTGTGTTTGCTACAGCAGCAGGAAAGCAGCTCTTAGGTAGATTCTTTCCTCCCCCTCCGGACATAATCCTGAGGGGAGCTCATAGTAGCAGTGTGATACCTGACATCTCTAGGGCGCTCTGACATAGCCGTACAGCCGTCCCCAGAGGAGGTAGGGCCAGCAGGAGTTATCATGCCCATTTTCCAGATGAGGATGTTGAAGTCCAGAGAGGTTGACCAGCTTGCCAGTCTCACACAATCAATAACTGTCCGAGGTGGGCTTTGACCCAGGTCTTCCTGACTTAAGAGTCCAGCACTTAAAACTGTCCTTAGAACTACCTCCCACCGAAGAGACACCTGAGTCGCTCTCCTCTCCCTGGTTGGATAGGAAGATACAGAGATCCCTCCGAGTCCCCCCTTTTTTGCCCCCTCCCCCTCTCTCATCCCGCCTACTTCCTAATTGCATTTGTTTTTTTTGCCAGCTTCCTTGGAAATGAATGAGAGTTCTCGCTGGACCGAGGAAGAGATGGATACTGCTAAAAAAGGTGATTGATTCTATCTGTTTTGTTCACCCCGCCCTGTTCCCCCCTAGACCCCACCAGGAAGAGCCTTGAGGCATGTGGACAGAAACATTGGAAGGGTCTGAATGTAGCTAGGAGAGGCCCAGCTCAGGAGTCCTGGGCATCTGGGCTCCACTCTGCCTCAAATTGATTCCTCCCTCAGTCACTGTGAAACTTTGGACAAGTCGTTTCATGTCCGGCCTCAGTCCTCTCATTTGGTATTTTGAACAATGCCAGAAAAAATCCCAGTCTGCACCATAGACGTGCCAATGTGGTGCTGGAGATCTGGTACCATTTACTGTGTGGCCGTGGACACTCATTTATCTTCTTTTCTGACTGGGTGGCCCCCCAGGCCTAGAGCCAGGGTGCTGTGGTCCGTATTGTGAGGAGAAAAGAGACCCCAGGTGAAAAGCAAGCCCTCGTGGCCTTTGACGCCACTCTTGATTTGCGGTAGTTGTGGCTGACCTCGGGAGCTGCTGTTTGGTGATTGAGCCGACACTGGGGTGCAGGACAGAGAACGGGGAAGCTCCAGGCATAGCCGTCTGGGACCCTAGAGAGATCAAGGGCTACGGCTAGGGAGCCTGGGGTCTGGAAACTCTTTGAGCCTGATGCCAAGCCTGGGCGGTATCTCACGCGAGTTTTGGGACATTCGTTCCTCCCCCCTCGGCTTTGACCCCACGTCCCAAGAGCTGGAGACATTCTCAGAGGGAGCCAGTTTGAAGTGTCCTAAGGGAAGCTGGATTAGGTCTTCCTCTGAGGTCAGCTGGGGCGGGAGGCGTGTCGGTGTGTTACTGATTGTGTTGCAGTTGGGGTGATGGAAGGAGAGACCGTGCTCAGCTGGAGGGTTGTGGAGGGATTTCTTGTGGCATTTTGCAGGGAATAGTTAGAGAAATCGATCCTATTTTCGGAGCCGTTGTGGTGGGTAGCGGCCTGCTGGGGGCAGTTTGTGATGTTGTAAGGAAGCGCTCGGAGTGTTGTTGGGAAACATTTGTAGTGCTGCAGAGCATGATGCATGGTGCAGGACAGAGAGAGTTGTGGTGTTGGATGGGACCGTTGAGGTGTCTTAGGGAAACAGCAGACGTGTCATAAGAAGATGGTCAGTCATGTTCTGGGGGGGGTGCAGTCGTGGAGGGCCTGTTTGGTTAGCGATGAACCGCCGTGGAATAGCAGAGACCTTTTGTGATGTGGCGACCAGGAGTTGGAATATTGTGGAACGCTCAAGGTCTGGCACCACTAAAAACACCTCTGTTTGACCGCTAAAGCTCTTCACCACCTGGCCTCGACCTGCGCTTCCAGCCTCGTTAGCCAGTGCTCCTCACGCCTTCTAAGATTCAGCTAAATCAGCTCTCATGTGAGAGGCTGCGCTGCTCATCTCTGGACTTTGGCACAAGCTGAATGCTCTGCCTGGACTGTCTTCCCTCCTCCCCTCTCCTCTCAGGACCTCTGGCTTCCTTCAGAGCTCGGCTCAGACACCACCTTCTACACAAGGCCTTTCTTAGTCTCCAAAGCAGCTGGTGCTTTCCTTCTCTGTCCTCCCATTTATTTTGAATTTATCTTGTCTATATGTCTGTGCGCTCAGGTTAGCTTTCCCAGTAGAATGGAAGTATCCTGAGGGCAAGCTCTCTCTCTCTCTCTCTCTCTCTCTCTCTCTCTCTCTCTCTCTCTCTCTCCCTCTCTCTCTCTCTCTCTCTCTCTCTCTCTCTCTCTGCCTCTCTCTCTCTCTCTCTCTCTCTCTCCACTTAAGAAATGCTTGTGGTTTGGTTGATTGGCAAACACATTGGAGTGTTGTAACAGAGCGCTGGCTTGATTGTCAGTAGATATTTGGAGCATTTCCAGTAGTCATCGCCATTGTAGCAGGGCCACAGAACAGTTGTTGAGTTCAGAGAGGGAGTTTCCTCCACCATTAAAATTGCAGCCCCAACACCATGTGCCAGGCATTATACCAGGCATTCAAGATGCTGACGAAAATGGAAAGCTGTCCCTGCCTTCAAGGAGGTTACCCTTCCCTGGTGTGTGCTGAAGAACAGGCCTGACCTCCTGGGAGAGGGTCTCACAACCTCTCCCAGAGTGGTCTCTCCTCCATCTGCCCTCCGTCTCTGCCCCTCCTTCTCCCCCTCCATTCCTCTCCCCCTCCCTCTGCCCCTCCATCTCTGCCCCTTCCTCTCCCCCTCCATCCCTGTGCCCCTTCCCTCTCCCCCTCCATCTCTTGCTTTTTCTCTGTCTCCCTGCCTCCCCACCACCTGCTACCCTCCCTGCCTTCCATTGGCCTTCCCCTGCTAATGGTTTTGGCTTTGGCTGAGTCACATTGGAAACCAGACAGGCTACCCGGGCAGTTGCTGGCTTGACTTGGCCCTTCCTGGGGGAGGCCTGCCCACCTCAGAGCCTCTCTGTCCCTTTGGGGAGGGAGCAAGGCCAAGCTGCACTCAGCCTGCTTCAGGAAAGTGCTGGCCTTGAGCCCTTTTTCAGAAAGCTGGGCGGTGGAGGGAGGGGTGGTGTTGGAGGAGATGGAGGTAGGAGGACATGCTTCTTGACAGGGAGGGAATGAGTCACCGGTGGCTGAGATGAGCCACTCTGTGTTGCTGAAATCAGGTCCTGTCCCCAGAGTCTCCAGGCGGTTCACTGGGGGCACGCAGCCTCTGATCACACTGAACAGAAGTGATGGGGGCTTGGGGGGATGACAGCGAGAAGTCCCCTGGCGCTAGAGAGAGCCTAGACTGGGAGGGGGGCTGGGAGGAACACAGCGGCCCTGACCAGTGACATTTTTAATAATGCAATAAACCCCGATGCGCTTGCTCATCTGCCATGAATTACAGCAAGTGGGACGATTACGGGGTAGGGCGCCTGCTAATCGACATGTGACTCGCCAGCGGCAGGATGCAGGTGCGGCCGGCATGCCAGATCACATCCCTTGTCGGGGGGCCCTCTCCCCCTCATCTCTTTTTTCTTTAAAACCCGAGAGCGAGGGCCCAGGAGGGAGGCCGCATCCCCACTCCACCCGGCTCAACACTCCACGCTGCTGGACAGCAGCCAGGGCACAGAACAGTCAAAGCAGGGGATGAACCCAGAGCAGTTTCTCTGGGGCCTTTGATCACATTAGGTGGTTTGACCTGAGGTTTGGAGCAGCAGCTTCACCTTTTGGATCCTGCTTGACTTCAGCCTTTGTGAAAATAAATGTACTCTCCCTGCGCTCACATGCCACAAGGGGTGGGGAGAACTGATCTGCCCCAAGGTGTGCCCAGGAACTGGGGGCCCTCTGGCTGGTATTCAGTACGTGATTGATCTGGATTGATTTTCTAGTTGGCGTGGAATCAAACCCTGGCCAGAGATAGCGCGCACGCACACACACACACACACACACACACACACGCCTCTAATGGAGAGAAAACAGGACCTAGCAAAGAAACAATTATAGGAATATAGCAGCTCATCGCTCTACAGTTATAAAGTGCCTACTCTGTGTCAGGCATTTTTCTGGGCACTGAGGAGAAAGGAAGGAAGGAAAGAAGGAAAGAAAAAAGAGGAGAGAAAGAAAAGAGAGAGGGAAGAAAGAAGAAAGAATTTCTTAAGTGCTTTCTATGTGCACTGAGATCTGGATTGAAAGAGAAAAGGAACCATTAGTTAAATCAGTCAATCAGCATGCATTTATTAACTGCTATGTGTCAGGCACTCTGCTGGAGTGAGTATAATGGATGGATGTTTGGATGGATGGATGGATGGATGGATGGATGGATGGATGGATGGATGGATGGATGGATGAAGAAAGCATTTGTGAACCACACTGCTCCCCCAGGGCCATGGCCCCTTCACCTGTGGTACTCAGAGCGCTGTGCTGACACTGAGGGTGCACACGGAGGGGCAAGGGGCAGATGGCTGCTCCTTAGGAGCTTGGACTCTGATGGGGAGAGGCAGCACCAGAGATTTAAGCAGGAAATCAGATGAGATAAAATTGAAACCATGGCTGCCCTCAAGGGGCCTCCACTCTCCTCTAGCAAAGTGCTGAGCGAGCCAGCAGTCCCACGGAGGAGGGGGCCCTGATTGAGTGCCTGCTATATACAATGCCCTGACAAGAGATTTTGATGCCAAGTCAGGTCAGCGAGCATTGATGCAGTGTTTTCTGTGAGCCGAGATTATAAAGATGTAAGGGAAACCCAGCCCCTGCTCTCCAGGAGGGAAATGCCATGTGCCCATGTAATTGGACGCACAGTAAACAGAGTGATCAGGTGGGGCAGGGAGGGGGCACCGCCAGCTGAATGACTCAGGAGAAGCCTCCATTACTTAGCAAGCTCCCCAGTGCCCACAGGAATGCTGTGTAGAGCTCAACCGGGGCCAGGGCGTTCTGGTGCCCCTACAAGGGAGCCGTGGGCAGGAGCAGGTGCACGGCTGCCCCCCTTCCCCCACCCCTTGTCTGCCAGAAGCTCTCTCTCCCTCCTCCAAGGGAGGAGATCCTGAAAGACTCCCCGGTCAGCCTCGGACACATCCGGGAACTAAGCCCCGTGGCCTCCCTCCCTCCTAGCCAGCAGCAGCTGACCTTGAGAAAAATTCAGCCTACATCACAGGGTCTGGGAGGGAGAGAGAGGGAGCTGGTGCCTTGCTCTGCCTGTGCTGATCCTGGGCGGGCTGGCTGATGCCCCTACTCCCCAAGCGGGGTTACTCAGCGATTCCTCTGCCCACACCTCTTAGACTGTCCCAAGGGGGGAATGGCCGGAGGTGGGGTCAGCCCCGAGCGCCCACCATGGTGCCTTCTGGCTGTAGGATTTCTACAAGCACTGTGTGGTGGGAAGGATGTGGAATTTGAAGTCAGACAACCAAGGTCCAATGCTCCACCTCCTGGGCCTTGGTTTCCTGCTCTGAATCTTTAATCCTGCTATCCTGTAGGCAGATAGGTGGCCCCATGAATAGAGCCCCAGGCCTGGAATCGGGCAGACATGAATTCAGATCTGGCCTCAGACCCTTACTGGCTGTGTGGAAAAGTCACTGAACCTCTT